CCAGCCATGGGGAAATTGGGCTGGTCCCAAGCCCCAATGGGGCAGAGGGACCTGTCCCAGCTGGGTGGGCAGCTCCCTCCCAGCCATAGGGAGAATGGGATTCATGCAGCTGGGAGGAAGCTGCCCACCCAGCTGAGACAGCTCCCCCTGTCCCATCCCATCCCCTCTTCCCCAGGACCAACTTGATCTTTGCATGGTTGAAAGGGACCCACTCTCAGAGCTAGGACAGCTCTCCCCTGCCCTGCAGAGACTGGGGCTTAGCCAGGCAGCAGTTTTGGCACTCTGCTGCCTGGGCAGACCGGGAGCAATTTGTTCCCGGTCAGCGTCTACACGTGCAGTAGCACCATTTTTCTAGTACCTGTCTGTATTGTTACTAGCAAATGGCACACTAGCCTAATCTAATGTGCAGTAATTGCCCTACACATGCAGACAGTGATGCTTTACTGTGCATTAGCTTAGTCTAATACACAGTAAAGCGTCTTGTGTAGATGTACCCATAAAGTCCAAAGAACAGGTGTGTTCAACAGGAAAATGGAACTAGAAACTGAAGGGCCAAAATTGGGATGTTCAAAATGAGGTCTAATTAATTAACCTAATAATGAAGGGAGGACCTATTCCTCCTATCACCCACCTGAGGTGATTAACTAAAGGACAGAGAAGGATCAGTTGGGCTGGGATGCAACAGGATTGAAGGGAATGAGCTTAGTCATTATGGCCAGTGACCCCTCCAGTTCCTGAGAGCCAAGATTCAACTGTGATGTCATGGGGACTTCATTTCCTGACCTGAAAGGCATCCAGGTTGGAGACAGGGGACCAGCAGACAGCACCATGTCTACAGCTTTGACTGAATCCTGACCATCACCTGGACAGTGAGATTGTGTTCCTCCTGTTATCCCCACTTTGGTGCTCTTTTCCTTCCCCATCACCTACTTCTCTTTCCTCTCTCTCCTTTTGGCTTCTACTTAACAAGCCTGTGTCTGAGCAACCAGGGGTGGCATCTTTTGCAACATTGCTACAAGCCGTGCACCAGTGAGGGACCTAAAAACAATGCCTTAAACAGTCTGGTAGAAGTTTGCCAGCACTTTGAGTGGCTGATAACTTTAAGACTGCATGCTACCTCTGTTTCTCCAGCAGCGAGACTACAAGGAACAGTCACCACCAGAGCCACAAGCATTTGCTCTCTGCTATTCCTGTCTCCCCTTTTGTGCACTTGTCTTCAAGGAAGCAGATCAGCAGCAAGTTTAGATTATTTCAACTAACTGCTCTTTCTCCCTTTCCCCAAAAAGGACACCTACTATCAATTTTTATACCATCTGAAAGATGGTCAAATGGAGTTTTTCCTTACAAGAACTCTTTGTGGCTAAGAGGTTGAGTAAGGGATATTGTCCCAGTGAAAGCCTTGCTGAATACATTCCAGATGCTTTCACTGGGTTTTTCCTTCTTTCTCTGTATCTTTAATACCAGGTTTAAAAGATTTTAATGATGCTTGTTGCCATGGTAATAAGCAGGCCGCCGTCTCTGTACTCGAAACACTGAACCATGGTTAACTGTTTAATGTTGTACAGTGATAGGGTCACATTAACACCTTTGACTCAGGGCCCATTTATTGCATCAAAATAAGCACATGAACCCTCCAGTGTTTCATTTCTGTGACAAGGGCTGTTCTCACAATACCAGGAAGGGGAAAAAACATTTTAATAGAGCTTGTTGAACCATTTCACAGTGTGAACTATTTCAATAAAGAGCAGTGAGGAAAAATTCCCCTTGTAAACTTTCATGTTGGCTGTTTTCTCCCTGCCAGTTTTCCCCAAGCAGCTCTCCATTTTAATAAACTAAGAAAATGAGATTGCAAAGCCACCACATCTGACAAGTGGCCTGAAGGGCAGACACAGCTCCTGAAACTAATTTTACCCCATGTTTTTAACACTGATCAGATTTCAAGTTGAGAATGGCCCCTTAAGCTGTCTTTCTGTTCTTACAGGAGTACTCCCAGATCCTTTGGTCTGCTTTTGAGAAGATCTTCCCTTTCTCCTACTGTAGTGTAGCAGTTGCAACAGGCTCTTCTCTAATTTTAATGCAACCCCAGTTTCTCAACCCCTCATCCCCTCTTTTAATCAGTTCATAGGCTTTTTCACAAGAGCAAGCACTCTCCACAGTAGCAGCACTTGCAAGTACAGCTAGGAAATGTTCCACAAGTTTGAAAAGGTTGAGGCTGGATTCACGGTTGGTATAAACAGAACAGTACCACTTTACCCATGGATCTGACCCTACACCAGCCTCCATTTTTTGCATTTTGCCTGCCCAAGAAACAAAGTGTTGTGCTGCTTCCCCCACACACACTCTATGATATGTTTTGATTGAAAAAGGGATGGCAGGAGCAAAGACAAATAGGATTGCCTTTTTTAATCTGATTACTCAATACACAAGAAAAGCAAGATCTTGAATGGTTAATAAAAAAGAATTGTAAACACCTCTCTTCTCTCAGAAGACACCTTGCTGGGGTTATTTGACCCCAGCAGTCTTTCCTGCCCAGAGCAGGGGGCTGGACCTGATCTCATGAGGTCCCTTCCAGCCCTAAACTTCTGGGAATCTGTGACACTTCCGGTCAGAATCTTTTTCATGTCCTGGTTATCTGGAAAACCAAATAATTTCAATTGCATTGACTGGAGACTTCAATCTTCTTCTTAACCTCACACACACACACACACACACACTTATTCCAGAAGTGTGGGTTGCTTCACTTTCAAGTGTTTTGAATCCCATGGTTACTAGGCTCATGTAGCTGTGTGAGATAACAATTGCCTCTCTCAATGAGCATATAATGTTTATCAGCAAGTCCTTGTTCCTGGTCAGAGAGGAGTTTCCAGATCAAAGAATGTGTTGTATGTGACAGACAGCAGGGCTTGAGAGCTCTCCGCTTCTTCAGAAGGTGGATAATGGCTGGAAGAATCAGCTCAATTGGAAAAGTGACACAACAGGCCACTGTATTCTTGCTCTACAAAAATCAAAGTGCTTTGTCAGTTCTTGAACCCTCTTTACTAAGGTGGAAAGCTCCTTTGAAAGGTGGGATTTTTAACCCTTGGGCAGCCTGCCCAAGAGCAATTTGCAGGTGTGCAGCATCCTCCAAGAGAACAGGACCTTGTTTGCATGGCAATGGGCAGCCCAGTTTTCGAAACCGCGAAGAGGTGGCAGTGCCTTCCATTGGTCGCTTCCGTGCTGTCAGCAGCAGGCACAGCTGTGCGCTCTGGTTTTAAAGATTCCTCTGCCAATTTGGAGGTCTCTGGAGGAATTGCATTTGCTTTTTCAGTCCTCACAGATCTCTCTTGTGCCCCTCTGACTTCTGAAAAGCACATTCCCACTGAAAGTGGCTTTGCCCTCAAGTTATTTACCAGGTACAAGGACAAAATATAACTGCTCCTCATTTCCCATCAACCAGTGACATTTTGGGCATCCTGGACAAAGAGCTGGGAAACATTTTGGTCAGTCAGTGCCCTCATGCATCTAGTCCTTTTTAGGCTAATGACATCCCACAGAAAATACCAGCTCTTAGTTTCTGCTCTTTTTTTTTTTTGGTTACAGAAAAATAATAGATCAAATCTTCTGTTGCAAGGAACTTGGAAAGATCACAATGGGTCGCAGAGTTTTTAAAACTATGGATTCTTATTTGAAATCTTTGGCTGCCTATAGATGTGCTCATTCCTATTCTAATTAGAACATGAATCAGCAGACTTGATTAATCGAGTCTACTTGATTAATGTGATTACTTGATTAATTCTTCCCTTCTTCCTCTGTTCTCCCCTCCCACTCAGTGCTGTAGGGAGGAGAGAGAAGGACTAGACCAGTGATTCTCAACCAGTGCATTGAGAATTATCTCAATTAAAACTTGATTATCTTGTGCATCATGTTTGCAAACCTAACGATGCTAACATTACTTGGCTCCCTACAGCACCCTTAAGAGGATCTCAAGGCACCCCAGGGAGCTGCAACATGCTGATTGAGAATCACTGGTATAGTCCTTCTCTCCCTTCCCTGCAGCACTGATTAATCACATCTGCTCCACGTTCTAATTAGGATACTCTAGCATTGCCTCAGTGTTACATATGTATTAGGCCCCTCCATGTTTCAAACTGGCCATGCAGTGCTTTAACTAAAGCTTGTCCAATGAGCTTTGGTTAAAGCATCCCATGGCCATTTTGAAACATAGAGGGGCTTAATACATGTGATGGTGAGCCATTTTAATTAGAGTGACTCTCCAGAAACTGCTCTAATTAAAGTGTCATCTCCCCCACCTCCAAACATATGTATAGGTAGCCTTTGGGCTTATCATGTCTGCATACCTAAGCGTGCTAACATTACATGGCTCCCTGCAGCACCCTTAAGAGGATCTCAAGGCACCCGAGGGTGCTGCAACACGCTGACTGAAAAATCACTGGTCTGGTCCTTCTCTCTCCTCCCTACAACATTGAGTGGGAGGGCAGACCAGAGGAAGAAGAAAGGAAAAAGTACAAAGGCAAAAATTTAGTTGCCTTACTCTTTTCACTCCATAGCAAATCAGTGGGTTCTGGGGTGGAGGTCGAGAGGATGGTAAAGCCAAAACCCAAGTGCTCCTTCTCTGCCTTCTGCTCCCTGCCCCTTCATTCCACTCCAGATCCTTCTTTATGTCTCTTCTCTCACACCCTCCCCCAGGTTGAGGTTGGAGTTTAAATCTGAAAGGACAGATAATTAAAGGAAAGGATTATCGTGACCTCAGATTAAGAAGAGAAGAGGGAGAGGAATAACTCCAGGAGAGACAGAGAAAGCTCCTTAGAGTGATGCAGGCACTGCACCCTCTGCCCCATCTCCCCCCACCAAAGACAATGTCACTCCTCCTCTCCATCAGGCTCCTGACAGGATGCGTTGTGCCTGCTTTTCCCTCTGTCCCAGTCACAGAGCAGATTCTGGGGTGGACCCTAAGCTTCTCTGGGGATGATTGAATACAAAGACTTGACCACAAGCTCATTTTATTTCAGGCTTGAGAGTTAGCCAGACTATCTAAGCACAGGCTCAGCAAGGGGGGCTGGGCCATAGGAATCCTGACCAGCAGGCTCAGTAGAGAGCCAGGAAAGCTGCTTTCTCAGTTTGTCACAAAAAGAAGATCTGGTGCTGTACATGGAGGGAATCTACACAGTAGGGGCTGGAGGTGGGGCAAGTTATGCTCTGTTAGCACACCAACTCTGGCATCGCAGGATCTTTGCTTCAAGAGGATGGATACACATATATGCTCCATCCAGGCAGCAGGGGGCAACCAGTCCCCACCTATGCATGCCCAGCAGCTGGGGCCAGAACCCTGCTGTGGTCCCCACCTTCCCCCAGCTCCCATCCCTCAGCCTTCACAATTGACCTGGAGACCAGGGGAAATTGGGATGCAGCTGAGTATCACATGCATGCCATCCTTCTTTGCATATGAGAGCCTTGGTGTGGGTTCCCCTCTCTTGCCCTGTCCCAGTTATGAAGCAGACTCCCACAAGGCTATGGCTGGCTGCAGCATGTGGTCTCAGGGCAGGCACTGAAGAGGGGGAGAGGGGAAAGCCAGGGTTCACCAATAGCCCCCTACCACGCAGAGCAAACGGAGGGTCGCCAGCCTCATCGTGACTCTGAGTCCAGGAGGTCGGCCATCACCGGAAAAATCGGCTGTGGGCACCAAGAAGTGTCAGGGTAGAGAAGGCAGTGAAGAGATCGGAACCTGCAGGAGACACAGGAGGAATGTAAAGAGATGGCTCTCGCTGCAGAATAAAGCAAGGCTGCGTGGGAGGAGCACATCTCCCCAGTGCCCCATCCCACACCAGATGCTCTCACTGCACTGCAGTTAGTGGGCAAGGCATCCACCTCCAACTTCCCGAACAGTGCAGAAGGGTGTAAAGATGATCAGAGATAAGTCTCACCCAAAACTCCTTGGTCTACACCCAAAAAATGCAGCATCAGCCCAGCTCTAGCCAGCATTTATGCTAAAGCCATAAGCAGCACAGGGGGTACTACTTTACCTCCACCTCCTCATTCCCGTCCCGCCCCGTCCCCTGCTCTCCAAGCTATGATCTCCCTACCAGAGCAGCACAAACAGCTGCAGGTTGTTTCATTTCATTAAGTGAAAGGGGGGAGGGGAAGACAGCAAATGTTGGTTTCGGATCAACCCAAAATGAACATTTTTCAGTTTTCTCAGTGAAACAAAGAATAAGAGGGGATAGAGGCTCACTTCGGGTGGAATAAAATGCTTCTGCTTTTTGGATGGGGGTGGAAGGAGGCTAAACTGAGGTCAGTGTGGTCTCAAAGCATCATTTTGAGATGGGAAGTGGAAAGGTTTCTGTTCTGAAAACATCCACGCAAAACATTGGGACCTTTAACCACCTTTTCCCAGCCAAGAAGATTTGCAAATTTGTGCAGAGTTCAGCAAATGCTTTCAGGCAACCCCAAACTACATTTTGGAAGCAAACAAACTATTCACGCCCAAAATATTGCTTGGCTCTGCTGATGCCTCTCGATCTTGCCCTGCACTTCTCCTGGCCAGTTTTCACAGAGGTGAGAATGTGCACAGAGAAGCAAACACACAGGAACACACCTGGAGGGGTCTTCCTCCTGGGAGAAGGGGCCACTCAGCTCAATAACATTGAGCTTGCTCTCAAAGACACCATAGCTGAGGGTGACCTGCAGAGACAGAGGGAAGGGAAGGGTTAGGGAGCAAGTAGGCAGCACTGGTGACACAGCTTTCAGCGGGCAGCAGACACTCCCATCAGTTCTAGCCCATTCCCCCCACCCCCGCCACATCCTTCTCATATTCCTTCCATATTTAATAATCAAGGCAACCTGCTGGCTCTGGGCTGCTCCTACCCTCCATTTCCTCCCCTGCCTTCCCTATCCTGCCTTACCATCCCTCCCCCCAGGCAGAGCTGTGTGACATGGGCATAGCCCCACTGGTGGACAAGAGGCCTTTCTTTTGGCTGTGCTGCTGCTACCTGAAGAGAGAACCACCACCGTGAGCTTTGGCTGGCAGCAGTTTTATTGGCTAGTTAATTGCCTTTTCATCCTCTACCCATTACAGCAGGGAGGCATCTGGGGAAGAATTTGTCAGAAAAGCCTCATCGAAATAATGTGCAATTGATTCAATCAATGTCACAGTTACCACCAGGGTGATTCGAATCAAAACCAGCTGGTTTCCCCTCCCCCAACCCTCTGCTTGCCTCCTCCACTTCACCACATCTCACGCCCCCCCGGGTGCCCATTCACCTGCTCCTGGAGCTGGGGCCTGGAGATCAGTTGCAGGTTCTCCAGGTGGGAGTGGAAGAGTGCATTGGGGAGCAGATGCCCACCCAACTTGCACTCCACAATGTAGCCCACAGTGCAGTCATCAGGCAGGCGGATGAGCTCTGAGGTGCTCACGAAGTTATGCCCACTGAAAGAGAACCAGCTGCAGAGATCAGTGAGACATCCAAGGTGGACCCCCACCATGGAGCTGGGCACAAGGGCAGGACATCCCCGGCTACAACCCCCAGTGGAGTAACTTAGGGAGTCAGTCAGCCCTGGCTATAAGAAGGTAGGTGACTGCCCAGTTCTGCCCATCTACAGCACCAGCCCATCTCTGCATGTGCACAGTACTGAGTACAACAGGGCCCAGGGACCCACCTGGGGCTTCTAAGTACCAATACAATACACAGCAGTAAGTGCACTTATGTGCCTGCCCCTGTCCCTTGCAATGGAGTAGGCACACCTGTACTGTGTCACCTCTCGTGTACACATCACCACATGTATGCTTAGGGTATGTCTGCGTTGCAGCAGCACAACCCAGCCTCACCACTGAGGAATTAAGCTCTGGCAACCAGCCCTCACCCCACCCAGACAACCCTGGAAGCTGCTGCCCATCAAAAAAAACCAACTCCTGAGCATAGTGATGGGGTCACTTCCAGGACTGACATGTGGGGACTGGCTAGGCCTCAGCTGCAAAACTGAGCTCCCTGCCCTCAGATAAGTTATATCCATGCCCATGTTCCACCCAGGAACTTGCACTGACACAGCTCCACCGCTCACCTGGCCCAAGGTGCCATCTTGGTTGCCAGCTTGCGGCTGATGCAGAATCCAGCCCCTCCCGTAGCAAACCAGAAACATACAGATTTCTGCAGAGAAAGGCAAGCAAGGTTTCAAATGGGACCACCACCCCACTACCTCTGGGTCTCTGTATCAAAACACTGGCCATTAAATACAGACTCAGGCTACAGTCCACTTCTTCCTGAGCCACAAGGCTGCAGCATGGGATTTACCGTCTGGTTGTTGGGTAGCATTTCAGAAGCCTGGATGGGCCGGTTCAGGCTGGGCTTCCCAATGTAAACATCCCATGCTGGAGAGTAAGAGGATAGGAGCTTCAACAGGGCATGTGGGTTGAGGTAATTATCATCATCCAGGTGGCAAAACCAGCTGACCATGAAAAGGAAGGGAGACAAGAGGTTAAGTCAGGATGATGCTGCAGTCTCAATCTCAAGGGCCTTTTACACACAGGTGGGGAGCTCCTGCACACTGATCAACTTTAGTAGGGGCTGTGGCTGCTCAACTCTTCCATGAATTAGCTCCTACTTCATCCTTTCCCAAAGAACCCCCCACAGAGCCTCCCTCTCTGAGCACTGGACAAGCAGCCCTCAGCCAGCAACGATGATCCCAGTCACTATCACCACGAG